TCAGAACTGCCTCTAAGAGTCCAGGAGGCCTCTGGGAGGCATTTCGCGAGATCCCAACGAACATCGAAGAGGCCTCTCACCCACAACCCAAGCACGGCGGCGGGGTGGGCCGAAGGCCATTAGGTCCGACGCCCCCTGTTGGCTTGCCACAGCGGTGCCTGGCATGCCAAACTTCACGAGTTCTCGGTTCGTTTAGAGCTCCCCATGGGGCTTCGGCCCAGCGCGCCGGCCACCCGAAAATTGTACATGTCAATGCCAATGTTGCCCAAGATGGCCCAAACTGGATTCCAAGATGCCTCCCAGACGGCCAAGATGGCCCCCAAGTCCGCCCAAGATGGTCCATGATGACCTCCTAGACGGCCCAAGAAGCCTTACAGACGGCCCAAAACGGCCCAGGAGTCCCCCAAGAGACTTCGAAGACGGCTGAAAAAGCCTCCAAGAGGTCCTCCAGGAGGGCCCGGAGAGGCCAAAATCATTGATTGTCCTGAAGGTATTTGAATGATTTTGGAATTTGCTTCTTTTCGGCCCACGGCAGCCCAAGAGGTCTCCAAGATCGCCCCCAGAGCGCCCGAGAGGCCTCCAAAATGGCACCATAACGGCCCAAGCGGCCCCCAAGACGGCCCTAAGAGGGCCCCAAGACGGCCCAAAATGCAGACGCCTAAGATGGCCTTCAAAACGGCCCCGTAGCGCCCTGAGAAGGCCCAACGACGGCGTAGAGAGGCTCCCAAGACGGCTTCCCACTGGGTCAGACGTGCCAGGAAAACCCTGCGGAGCCCACAGAGGCCCCCAAGAAGCTCCCAAATGCCCCGAACAGGCCCGTGAAGGGCTCCAGGAGGCCTCCAGGAGGCCCCTGAGAAGCTCCCAGGAAGCCTCCTCCTCCATGTTCCCCCCTCTCCTCTCGTCTTCTTCTTCTTCTTCTTCGGCTTCTTCTTTTTCTTCTTCTTCTTCTTCTTCTTTTTCTTCCTCCCCACCTGTTCTCCGAAGGGTTTCCACAACGGCTGGGGAACAGATAGGCCGATAGATTGGCCGAGCTATGGCTACAACGTTCGGCCACATAAGCTCTGCGAAAAAGACAAGGGGCGGCGGTGATTCGCCGCGGGCGCCTTCGATCGTATACGTATGCTTGTGTGGTGCCGAATCCACTGGAGATGTAAGGCGGGAAGCGGAAACCACGACCCGACCTGGGTTCGCTTCGAAGCAGCCTTCGAAATACATATCTGCTCTCTGCCATGCAGCTATGCATCAAAGAGCTAGCTCCGATGGGGGCTCCCCTCCAAACCTGCCGCGTTGCAGAGAAGACGTGGCCGAGCTGCGCACTGCTGGGCAGCATCACGAGCGGTGAGACTGAACCTTGCGATACCACGTCCCCATAAATCCCACCAGCCCTCTGGGCGACAGGTGATCCAACCAGGGTCTCTTTCCTCTTCCACGACCCCTCCTCCCTTCGGGGAGGGGAGCCCTCTCCCTCCCCTCCTTGTGTTTTTGTTGGGGAGGGGGCCCGATGTGTCAGAGGGTCCTTTTCCGGCCCTTGGGAGGGCCACGGGGAGCTACATCGAGGACGACAGCCCTTCTTTGATCGACCGCCTCCAAGATGGCCCCCAGGGCCCCCCCCCACCCAGGGCTCCCAAGGTGCCCCCAGGAGAGCCCCAAGAGCGCCTCGGGAGGCCCCAAGAGGCCTCCAAGAGGCACCCGAAAGGCACCCAGGGGGTCCCGAGTGGCTTCAGAGGGCCCAAAGTGACCTCCAAGATGGCTCAAGATAGCCCAAGCTGGCTCAAGATGGCTCCCAAAATGCTCCAAGAGGCTGCAAGACGCCGTCCAGGCCGGCCTCCCTCGGTCCCTCGCTGTCTGTCCACGCGTGTCTCTTCATCTCTCCCCCTGTCAGCTCTCATGGGCATCGTTTCTGGACGGGCTGGTGGGGATACTTTTGGTATTCGCGGGCGCGCGAAGCAAGTCGAACGCCGAGCAGGCTAGGGCGGGCCGCGCCGTCGCGAAGGAAACAACAGCGGGGCTGATGGGGATATATATTTTTGGTCGCGGCCGCGCAACAGAGGGCAGGCGGCGAAAGGGAGTCCGGGGCAACAGGCAAGCCGAATTAGCTGCTAGGCGCAGTGCAAGCCGGCCGGGCCAGCCCTCAGAGGCAGCAGCTGGAGGCAGCGGCGGCGGGGGGCTGACTGGCTGAACTACAACGCCCAGGGAAGCTCAAGCATCATGCAAACCTGTGGCCAAGTGCCTGGGAATTCCAAACTGAACGCCGCGGCGCCAGTCCACCGTGTAGGTGCCATGCCGAGTCAGAGAGTGTCCTGCACGCACTATCCGCACAAACGCTGTTGCAAGTGAAGGCCAGGTACAAACTGGTCATGCCGCCAGAGGGCGCCAAGGGCCAGGGCCGTGTCGACGGCGTAGACCTGCCTGGTAGGCTGGGACGGGTCGAGGATGGAAGCACACCGTCTGCAGGAAGGCTGGACCACTCCGCGACGCCACATGAGTCTCCTGTGGTGGACGCCGGTCCCGAGCAAGTAGCATAGACCCAGCCCGGAAGGCGACAGCACCTGAGGGCCCGGCCCAGGGTCACGACGTGAGCGGCGTAGAGAACCGCGTATTGCGCGGAGAACAAGCCTGACTGGCGGGAATGGACGTCAACAGTGTGGCCCGGAGGGTGGACACCAGGGGACGACAGCGCCAGGGGGCGATCACCCACATTACGATGTGGGGCCACGGGGTCCTTGCCAAGCCGCCCTGCCCGTGTGGGGCCCTCCTGTGGTGGGGGCAGTGGGTGCTGACATCACCAGCTGGCCACGTGGAGGGGCCCGCCAGGGACTTCCGGCGCCAGGAGAGGGGAGAGGGAGAGATGCGGGAGCCAGGGAGCGGCTGACGGCCGCACGGATTCGTATGGAAGTCCACGTCCAGTGGAGCGTGTGGGGGCACTACTAGCTCGGAGAGGTGGGACTGGGCGGTGAGCCGATGCTCAGAGCCTATCACCCACTGTGTCAGGGCCGTGTTGCCCCCGAGCATCCCCTATCCAGGATGTTGTATGAGCTGAGCTTCCCATCGGGGGGCAACTCTGTCTACTGTCGTCCTGCGGGTCCCCGTGTCGGTGGCCTGCCGGCAGCACTGGACCTGTTACTGATGCCCATGTTACCAGGGGTGCAGCTGACGACTGCCAGAGTTTTAACATAAGCCAGGGAGCAGCTGACGGCTGCCACAAGAGAGTACTGGGACGTTCCCCGTAAGCTGCCGCGCTCAGGCCTTGTCCATGGGCCCGTCTGCAGCGCCGGGGAGATGTCCCAATCAGGACACGCGGCCGTCCGACGGCCAGGGTCTGCCGGGATCCCAACAGGCACCGGTGGTGGTCAGCCTTCGGACGAGTGCTGGACCGTACCCGTGCCTGTTCCTTGGCAGGGGGAGTGTCGGCCTCTTCGGATCCGCTCGAGGGGAGCTGCCAGGGGTGCGGCTGACGGCCGCCTGCATTCTTCTAACTAGCTGCTGCCAGGGCGACCATAGGCCTCTACAGTCACAAGTCCGGGGCACAAGGGGGGTGAGACATGTCGGGCGCCGGGGAGCGGACACCGCCTGGGCGCACGAAAGCTGTTGCGTGTGGGCTGCGGCGTCCGTGCGTCGTCCACTCGCATCTAACCAGCCGAGGCTGTCTAGCTATGCTGCGCCAAGGGGGGGTGGGGCGGCCGCCTGCCCCAGCGATAGGTAGCCCCGAGGTATTACGGCCGACGGGCCGGGCGCAGCGAGGTGAAGCGGGCCCTGTGGCGGGCCAGCGCACGCTGACAAAGGGAGCAGTTGCGCCGCCAGCCTTTGTGCGCGGAGCGGGGGGGGGTTGAGTGGGTATGGTGTATACCCGTGGTCAGCTCGAGTGGCGGCGGGGGGCCTCGGAGGCTGTCGTCTTGTTGGCCACCTTCTTCCGCCAGAGTCTGCTGCAATGCAGCGACTGACCCCTCGAGTGGCTGCTGTGTTGCTTCATGCCCACCAGCGACCTCTCTTCTCGGAGTCGCGGTGGTCGTCTCGCCGGGGGGAGCGCTTGCCCCCACCTTTCCATTCGGTGTCGCTCCATGTGGGGTCGCCTTCGCCCCATGTTGACCAGCCCTGCCAGCCGTGCCATTGGTCGGAGCGGCCCGGGGGACTGATCACTGTCCAGGGGGCCTGGGCATCTTGGCGTCCGTCCCTGCGGGTCTCTGTTGACCAGGGAGCCTGCGAGCCCCGGCTGCCCGTTGCCCAGGGGGCCTGTGATACTCCACCGTGCCGTCCGGCGCCCTTCATGTGCTTGCGGCGGATGGAGGGCCCAAGGTGACCTCCAAGATGGCTCAAGATAGCCCATGCTGGCTCAAGATGGCTCCCAAAATGCTCCAAGAGGCCCCAAGACCGCTCCAAGACGCCGTCCAGGCCGGCCTCCCTCGGTCCCTCGCTGTCTGTCCACGCGTGTCTCTTCATCTCTCCCCCCGTCAGCTCTCATGGGCATCGTTTCTGGATGGGCTGGTGGTGATACTTTTGGTATTCGCGGGCGCGCGAAGCAAGTCGAACGCCGAGCAGGCTAGGGCGGGCTGCGCCGTAGCGAAGGAAACAACAGCGGGGCTGATGGGGATACGCGAAGCGTCAAGAATTATACTTTCTTGGATCTCGTATGGCCAGTGGGGAGGAAGCTGGCCGACCACAATACCAGTAGGATCCACGACTTGGGCTGTGGGAGACTCGAGCCATCTGTCCCCCTGCTGATCAGGATACTGGATGCCACGAGGGTGTACTGTTTCGGGTCGTTCCGCTTACAGCATGTGCACAGACGCATCAACAGCAACAAGGATATCCAATCTCCCCAGGCCTACTATTTTGCATGCAGGTCACTGCGCGGATGCAAATCATGTCAACCAGTGTGGCCGATTACACTGGCTATGGGCCAACCCAACCCGTCGAACATCTGGAGAATCAACGGCACGTTCGTGAATGAATCGGTCAAGCGGGGCACGAATCAAATGGATGAGGTACATGAAATACGGTGTATGTCAAATCGCAATCGCCGTTGCTCTCAATGCTACCCTTTCGTGCCGGGCTCGGCTTGGGTGCCATTGGCGTCGTAGGGGACTCCGTTGGGGACTCCGTGGGAGACCCCGTTGGTGCCTTCACTGCCCATGCCACACGACAACGATCGACTTAGCATGCTTTCAAACATAGGCGGCGTGAAACACAAGGTCGTGCAGATTCAAACTGGATCCGTGCCATGATTGCGCGAATGATGTGTAATCCGAGACGTGACAAACGTAATGCCCACCCTGGGAAACAGAGCGAGCAATACAAACAACCATCAGCGTCAGACGTGCCCTATGCCTGCATCTCTCGCAGATAAGAATTGTGCCATTGCTCTGAAACGGGTTGGCTGCTGATAAAGATCCACTGACAGCGCTTCCATGGACTGAAACTGCTAGCAGAACACATGCACTACTATGTGAAGCTTCGCATGGACTGATTGCATGTTACTTAGCTTTCAATGCGCATGTTGTCTACGCTGCATCCAACAATGTGCAATTGAGCGGTGTCGTTCGTTAATATGTACAGTTGAAGAGGTACCGCCTTGGCAAACCGCCAAATCGAAACGACGTATGTGTAACCTAGCGTGGATGCACCTGCCAGGTCCAGTAACCAGGACACACTGGGGCGTGCTGTACTGCCTCTTTGCCGTCTTGCAGGTTTGCATAACGTTCTAGGAGCGAACCCCTCTCTCAACGCATGTCCGCTGAACGCATTGCCTCTGGCCCGAAAAGGTGCAATTCTATGCCCTCCTCGACCCCAAGACAACACCAAGACCGCCTCAGACTATTCCGGGAAGGCGGCTGGATGGCCCGAGAACAACCCAAGCCCACCGATCCAAAGTACTCGCAACATGTCTCCAAAAACCCAGCAGAAGGACCCAACGGCGGCTCAAGACGGCCCCAAGACATGGGCCCTGAAGACGGCCTAAAGACACGACCAACCGGCCCAAATAACGATCATCAAAACCTCTTCGGGCACCCGGGAGGAGTCCAGAAAAAAAACCACAAGAGGTACTTAACAGGGAAGCTACCAAGAAGCCTCGAGGCGGGCAATGCAGCAATCATGCAACGTTGTTGCCACTCCACGCTGCAACGTCGGAGGCATACTTTCCACGCGCCCCAAGATAATTATATCGAGTCATGGTTCCAACGGCCCCTGTCAGGAGAGACCAGCATAAGCACCCTACATTCTTTTCAATTCTGCGCAGGCGTGGGGTGAGAGTTGCCGCAGGCGCAGCTTGATACTTGAAGATGTACGATACCTGTCGTTCAAAATGATTGTTTGGCAACTTGCCCATGCGATGGCCCTGGCATGCTTGATACGCTCATTTCTCATTGTTCATACTTGCTCAAAGTGTCCAAGCCGATAATTGACGACAGTCATGTGCAATGCCCACCTGCGCGCTTTGCGTGTAAACGCTGAGCTCGCGAATGGACCAGTAGGCCTCTGACATAGCCTCTGGGTGCTTCGCGACGAACTCATCGCAAGTCATGTTGTGCTGAGGGCACGCACCTCCGTCCCAATACTGTCTGATGCACACAGCAGGAAGGGTACATCAAGGACAGATGTACATAATCGGCCAGGCAGAACAAGAAGTCGGCTGTAAAATTCTGGTCGTCTAATCGTTTGCACTTTGATCACGTGGTGCGTACCTCCAATTTCTGCTTTGAGCATTTGTCCTGCTTCAAGAGTCGTCGTCTTTGCCGAACGTGAAAAAAAGCACTCCTGCTGTCATGCTGGGCGATGTGTGGGTGCTTGAGATACGTGCTCGGACGGGGACAACTCGCACTCATTTGCTTCAGCTTACACTCTTCCAATCACATGTGCGTGCAGATGACGGAGGCTTCCCGTGGTCCTGGGGCACGCGCTGGGCTCCGGCGCGTGCGAGACCCCCGTCTCTGAGGGCCGGGGCGCTGCCGGCCCGCGCGCGCGCCTCCTGCTTTTTGTCTTGGACCCTCTCCGCCCTGCGGCCGAGCGCGCAGGGCCGCGGCACCAACAAGCTTGTGGGTGCGTGCGCGTGTGAAAAGAGGTGGGCAGGGTGCCTCAGGGCCTTAGCTGCCCCGATACGCAACACGCAGCACGTGCCGTATGGATACGGAGCTCGACACGTGGGCTGAGAACGTGGGTCCGACGCGACACATTCGCCCAAACGCGGTCCAAGACGTGGAGCCAACAGGCAACATATTCAAACGGACGTCTTGAGCACGGGACATCTTGCGTTTCAAAACACGCGTATCGAGGCAACTAAGCTCAGGATTCAGGACGCAGGTGTTCGCGAAACAATCCCATGCGGCATCCAGTGCCGAATGGTGTGCACAGCGCCGGGGCGCGGTGCGGAGCGAGGCAGGGTGCCAGGGATGGGGAGGGACCAGAGCTGCAGGGGAGGTGGAAGTGGAGATTGGGCACATCCTGCGATGCCAAGCCTCCGAAGCAAGAGGGTGCTGCCGCCCCCTTCGGCGACGGAGCGCGCCGATTCCGCACGGAAGCGGGGCCCGTCGCCAAGCTGCACGCCGTGTTCCATGCTGACGCTTCCTCGAAGAACGCGCGGGAGGGGGACGCGAGCCCCCGGCCCCCGCGCGCGTGTGTGTGTGTGTGTGTGTGTGTGTGTGTGTGTGTGTGTCTGTGTGCGTGGATCGGCGAGCAGGGGCAAGAGCAGCACGAGAGGGAGGAGGAGGAGGAGGAGGAGGAGGAGGAGGAGGAGGAGGAGGAGGAGGAAGGCCTGTGTAAACCCACGATCCATCAAGGATGCTGGAAGAAACCCTTCCTCCAAGGTCCCCCTTCAGAGGTCCCGACGAGGGGGTTTCCTTCACAGGAGGAAGTGCCCCGTTGAAAAATCCCAAGCCGTGCCAGAAAACCGTTCCTGGGACTTCATCGCCGCGGATCCACGTTACGGTTGCGTTCTGAGGATCCTGAATCGTGCCAAAGCACCAGTTCCGAGGCGTCAGCATCGCGAATCAACGTGACTGTTGTGCCCTGGCATTCCTACACTGCGCCAAAACAGAATTTCTGTGAAGTCAGCCATCATAATCCTTGAAGCTGTTATATACTATTGTAACGCATGTGCGCGGAGCTAGGGCGCGAACCACACTGTGGCAACAACACGCTCCATTCGTGAACGTCTTGCAAACTGGTAGAATGAAGATGCGCGGCGCTAAGGCGATGCCCATCTAACAAACACGGCCCGCCCTCCACCGGTGGAACTCGTGTTCACGTTCAAGACGAGTGCGTGCCACGCGAAGGCGACGGCAACATTTGGAAAGCCGCCCGCCCTCCACCCGTGCAGCGATGCCACACTGCTGCAGTGCATGGGCGCGGCGCGGGAGGAGGAGGAGGAGGAGGAGAGGGAGGAGGAGGAGGAGGAGGAGGAGGAGGAGGTGGAGGAGGAGGAGGAGGAGGGGAGGAGGAGGGAGGGGGAGGGGGAGGGGGAGGAGGAGGAGGAGGAGGAGGAGGAGGGGGGAGGGGGAGGGGGAGGAGGAGGAGGAGGAGGAAGAGGAGGAGGGGGGAGGGGGAGGGGGAGGAGGAGGAGGAGGAGGAAGAGGAGCAGGGAGAAGGAGGAGGAGTACGAGGACGAGGAGCATGCATGTCGAGAACGCCCCGCCCCCCATCCGTGGAGCCCCTGCGGCGCTGCACAACGAGCGGGCGCGGCGCTATGGCAACAGCTGAGGAGCGCGTTTTCCACCACCACCACCATAAGTTGGATGGGGCGAAGGGGGAGAAGGAGGAGGAGGAGGAGGAGGAGGAGGAGGAGGAGGGGAGGAGGAGGAGGAGGAGAGGGGGAGGAGGAGGAGGAGGAGGAGGAGGACGTCGTCGTCGTGTCGTCGTCGTCGTCGCTCGGCCGTCGTCGCTCGTGGCAAGTGTGGGGGGCAGGCCACAGGAGGGCGCCCGGGAGGCAGAGGGAGGGAGAAGGAGGAGGAGGAGGACGGAGGAGGAGGAGGAGGAGGAGAGGAGGAGGAGGAGGAGAGAGGAGGAGGAGGAGGAGGAGGAGGAGGGAGGAGGAGGAGGAGGAGGAGGAGAGGAGGAGGAGGAGGAGGAGGAGGAGGAGGAGGAGGAGGAGGAGGAGGAGGAGCCCCCCCCTCCAACTTATGGTGGTGGTGGTGGAAAACACGCTCATCAACAGCCACATCTTGAACACGGCCCGCCCTCCACCCGTGTGCGCGGCGCGGCGCGCCGCGAACGCGCACACGGGTGGGAAGCATGTGCGCGGCGCTATGGCGAAGACCACATTTTGAAAACCACCCCCCTCCACCCGTGAAGATGTTGCAATTCTTTAGTTTGAGATTTGTCACTGGTGAGGGAGTCTCAGGCGAAACGACCGGCCTGCCCTACCGACACGCGTCGGGGTGCGACAGGGGGGGAGGTATTCATCAGGGCAAGGGATGGAGGACGAGAAGAACGGGGAGGATGAGGAGGAAGAGGATGTGTTAAATCCTCTGCGCCCTCACGGGCACCTCGCCTTTTTACAAGTCTCTTTGCCCCACCGTTTTCTGCACTGGCCCTGCAGATTAATCTGTTCGTCACAGCGCCGGAGACGGTGCACATTCCATGCCTGCTTTTTCAAGACTGAGAATCTGCGATCAGTGCTGACTGAAGTTCGCTTAACGCAAAGAAGATAATAGTGATGATGAGTAGGAGGCGGAGGGAGAGGAGGATCGACAAGGAGGAATATCGAGAAGGAGGAGGAGGAGGAGGAGGAGGAGGAAGAGGAATGAGCAACCCGCGGGCCCGTTCCTGCCCTCGTACCTCTCCCCCGCACTCTCCGCGGGCCGCTGGCAGTACAATCTGCCGTATGGCCGCTAGCTTGATAGCTTGCCCGCTCGTGCCTTGCCGCGCGCGGCTGGAGCCACTGGGATGGCCGTCCGTCTGCTCGAAGATCTGGGTTGTCTGGCATGGAAAGTTGGCGTGCAGGGCCCTGCTTCGGTCGTTGTTGAATGGTCTCCACCACCACCGCTCTCCGTTGCTGAACAGCCCCAGCCTTGTCCTCCGAGGTGTCCAATCCAATCCTCCTCCACCTCCTCCTACTCCTCCTCCTCCTCCTCCCCAGCCTTCTCCTCCTCCTCCTCCTCCTCTTGCTCCTCCTCCTCCTCCTCCTCCTCCTCCTCATCCTCCTCTCTCCTCTCCTCCTCCTCCACCTCCTCCTGCTCTTCCTCCTCCTCCTCCTTCTCCTCCTCTCCTCCTCCTCCTTCTCCTCCTCCCCTCTCTCCTCCTCCTCCTCCTCCTCCTCCTCCTCCCTCCGTCCTCCTCCTCCTCCTTCTCCCTCCCTCTGCCTCCCGGGCGCCCTCCTGTGGCCTGCCTCCCACACTTGCCACGAGCGACGACGGCCGAGCAGAAGACACGCCCCCAGAATGACGAAGGCAGCCACGGTCACTGCGCTCGGCCAACCTGCGAAGGTTGCGCCGGCCCAATCGCCGCAGAACGTCAGGTCGAAGACCAACCGCATGTTCTCGAAATGATCCTGGGGGGATCGCGGATCCCGCCAGCACATCGTTTCGCAGTGGGTTATGCACCACAACAAATTGTTCCTCCTTCTGAATGTTTTACTCCTCTTCCGCCGCCTCCCTTAGCCTCTCCGCCAAGCACCCTCCGTGGCCATTTTGGCTCAAGGTTTTGAGGTTCTCACTGGACCAATTGGAAGCCGCTAGCCCGCGTCTTGCATCAACTTTTCGGTCAATTCGCCCTGACATCAGCCTTTCCCTGGTCCGTCCCAGGGTCTAGCATCTCTCGTTCTGCCAGTTCGCCCTGACATTCTTTCTTGCCTGCAGATGGGTGGGAAGAAGCAGCGGCAGTATGTTGTGTGCCAGTCGTGTCGCTATCGATGGAATTTCAAGAACAATGACTGGTGCTACGGGTGCTCGGCTGCGCTGGTGGTCAACCCCGCTCCTCACCGTCGGCCTCAGGGGAAGTGGGCTCTAGGTCCGCCAGCCATTGCCGATCAAGGTGAGCTCGACAGAAAGGTCGTCCCACCGCCGTGGTCAAAAGCGGTGGCGCCCAAACCGTCGAAGGTCTCGGGTTACGACTGGCAGCCGTGGGTACGTTCAACTCTCAACTGCCCCGACACGCAACACGCAACACGTAGCGTGTTGATACAGCGGGAATCAAGACGTCGACTGAACACGTAGGTCTGACGCGATATGTTCGCAAAACGTGAGCCAAAACGTTGGGACACCACGCAATCAATCGACACGGACGTTTTGAGCACAGAACGTGTTGCGTATAAAACCGAGCGTACCGATTCAACTAAGGTTCAACAAGGTGGGCTAGCTCGGGGAACGGAAGTGCACAATCGTCCGAGTCAGAACTGGTCTTGCCAAGCTGCGAGGAGCTTGCCAAGATGGAGGCCACGCTCCGTGAGGTCGGGGCAGCCTCTGTGCCGCCAGTGAGGGTTCGGCCGCCATTGCCTGAAGAGGAAGTCGCCATTAGAGGTGTGGCGCGCAGGCGCGCCCAAGCATGGTGGTGGTGGTAGTGCTGCTGCTGCTGCTGCTGCTGCTGCTGCTGCTGCTGCTTCGTGAGCGCGGGTGTGCGCGGCGCCGAAGCGACAGCCTCATTTTTGAACACGGGCCGCCCTCCGTGCAGCTGCTCGAACTTCCAGGCTCCAAGATCGTGGGCGGTGGGGGCGTCTCGGGCGCTTCCCCCGGCCCGTCCTGACCTTCCACATTTGGTGGTGCACATGGAAAAGATGTGTATACGGAGGAGGGGTGGGATGGGGGAGGAGGATGAGAGGGGGACGCAAGATGGAGGGGGGAATCCCAAGCTCGAGGCGGAGGGGTGGCTTCGTGACGCGTGGTCTGAAGAAGAGTGCGCCCGTCACTCGGCTGTGGAGGCCAAGACGGACTGGGGGGCGGCCTGTGCTGAGCAATTGTCTCGAGCGCCGCGGGCGGCCACGCAGGGTTCATCCTCTTCTGCTGCCGCGGGATCTGCAATGAACCTCTCGTCGCTCTTGGATGGCAAAGAGGAGCGCCTCACAATCGCCGAGGGCCCGCTATTCGACACTGGCGGGCTCGAGCTCGACGGAGCAGAATTGCACCAGCAGCAGCTGGTCAAGAAAGACTTGAGTGCCAGCATGCAGGCTGGAATTAAAAAAGCCCTGGGCCCCACGGCCAAAAACCGCGCCGCGCTTCGAGGCGAGGCCCAGAAGCTGGCTGCACGCCCGCAGGCCAGGCGCAGAAAAAGGGCTGTCAGGGGAGGCGTCAGGCTGCAGGGGTCCCCGAGGGCCCCGCAAGCTCTGGGGGCCCCTGGGGTTGCCGAGGGTGGCGCTGGCGCTCCTGTCCCTGTGGGGGTGCTGGCGGCCTGGGGGGGCTGACCCTGCCTGCTCGGCGAGCAGTCTCGAGGCTGCCGGTCGCTCCACGGCCAACGCTCTCTCGGAGGCCAAGCAGTCAGCGAAGCGCGATTTGCCAGGGGTCTCCCTGGCAACCAGGCCTGGTGTTTTCAAGCGAGAGGTTTCGGTATTGCTAGACTCGGCTTCCGTCGCTGGCTGAGGAGCGTCAACTTGCGGAGCTCATTTTCTCGTCATTTGGATGCCTGGAGGAAAACGATGTTAGCAATCGGGGTGGTAACATTTCAAGTTGGCCTTGGCTCTTGTTGGGGAGGCCCAGGGAATACGTGCAGCCCAGAGCGCCTGCCCGTTCTTAATCGCTTAGTGCCCGGCAGATGCTTGTCAGTCACGCTCCTTTGTTAGCCAGGTCCCAGTCTGGCGATTCTTTTGTAAAGCTGTCTTTTCGGACGCCCTCTGAGGAGGAGGAGGAGGAGGAGGAGGAGGAGGAGGAGGAGGAGGAGGAGGAGGAGGAGGAGATCTCACCTTGGAGATGAGTTTTCCCATCTTTCGGGCGAAAGTCTCTCAGTCAAGACTTTAATACAGTGCCTGGCTTTTTGGGGGCGCTGGGATCAGGCGAGGGCAAGTTACAGCATGCCATCTCAACGAGCCCAGCCTTCTCGTCAAATGTGTATCCCGCCCGCCAGGCTGGTGGAGTTTCGGTTAAACCAGCGCTTCCTCTTGGTCTCTTGGCGATCGAGGGAGGGTGCAGTTAGACGACAACTACTCTCACCTGTCTGGGAAAGCCTCAGCCAGGCCTTGGATCCAAGGCCGGACTTGGGGGACGCTGGGGTTAGGCGCGGGCGAGTTTCAAAAGGCAGCCTCGGCAAGCCCAACCACCCCGTCAGGCTGCGCGACGAATCCCGCCCAGCTGTTGAACCATTCCAGGCGGTGCTCCTTCCTGGAGAGCGCCCCTTTTGCGAGGCGCGCCCTGCGCCAGATATTCTCTTTCTGTCGCGGGTTCAGCGGCCATCGGTGCCAGCGGCAGCTGCTCAGGTAGCGGCGGCCTTGTCGGGTCCAGCGCTGCGGAGAGGGAGCGTGGTATTTCCAGCGTGAGCGGATGTTCCCAGGGCTCCCCCGTTGGAGCGCGCCAGGAGCTGTGCGCGGCCGGGTGCGGGGCCTCGTTGGAGAAGGGTGGCCAGTGCCTCCGAGGATGGAGCCCCCTTCGGGGTGTGGTCGACGCTTCCAGTCTTGGCCCCACAGGAGCTGCGAGGGCGGTGGTCGAAGCCGCCGCGGCATCCGCATCACGCAGAGCCCCCTTTCCACCCAGTCCCCCGCCTTGGTGCGAGACTGCGTGTTCGAGCGGGGCGCTATCAAAGCATGTGGTCGAAGCCTCCGTTGGCGCGCTTTGGGTGGACATTACTTCCAATACTTCCAGTGTGTCTGGTGGGTCGGAAGGCAAGGCTTGCGTCGGGCCGAGCAGCTTGGAGATGGTTCACGATATTTCCATAATGGGCTGTCATTTCCAGTCTAATGGGCGGAATGGCCGGTGCACATATTTCCGCTGGTGGATTGGGAGGTCCTCGCGGCGTGAATGCACTGGTGTCCCGACCCCAAGAAGTCTCGTCACGGGGGGCACCCGATGGAATCGGCGGGCCCCGATCCCAGGAAGCTCTCGGGGGGGAACGCGCGGTTAAGAGTGAGGGGGCGGGCGCGGGCGACGCGGGCGTCGAGCCGGCGGACCCCGTGGCCCTCACCTTCCCTGTCGATGGCGCCCTCCTCCTCCTCCTCCTCCTCCTCCTCCTCTTGCTCCTCCTCCTCCTCTTCCTCGTCCGCGTCATCGTGCTCATCGTCGTCGTCGTCGTCGTCGTCCACCTCCTCCTCCTCCTCTTCCTCCTTTTCCTCTTTCTCCTCCTCCTCCTCCTCCTTCTCCTCTTCCTCCCCCATCCCGATCCTCCGCCCGCCTCCTTTCCGTCGTCGTCGTCGTCCTCCTCCTCCTCCTCCTCCTCCTCCTCCTCCCCCTCCTCCTCCCTCCTTGCTCGTCGTCCCCCTCCGTCCCCCCCTCCTTTTCTTCCTGCTCGCCCTCGTCGTCGGCCTCCTCTTCGTCCTCGTACTCATCGTCGTCGTCGTCGTCGTCGTCGTCGTCGTCGTCGTCGTCGTCGTCGTCGTCGTCGTCGTCGTCGTCGTCTGCCTCCTCCTGCTTCTCGCCCTGCTCCTCCTCCCCTCCTCCGAATAGCGCGGGCGCGCCTGGGGGGTGGGTCGCGGGCTTGTTCAATGACGTAGTTTGGCTCGCGGGTGGGTCGCGGGTTCTCCACCTCCGCCTGGAAGGAATTCAAAAACAGCCCGCCGCAGGCGCCGAAAATTTTGATTTGTACACTGAACGCGGTTTGGGTCGCGGGTGGGTCGCAGGTTCTCCATTTGGAACGAATGCAAAAGAAGCCCGCCGCAACCGCCGAACATTTTGGGTGGGTCGCCGGGTGGGTCGCGGGTGGGTCGCGGTGGGTCGTGGGTGGGTCGCGGGTGCGGTTTGGGTCGCGGATGGGTCGCAGGTTTACCACCTGGAACGAATGCAAAGAAACCTGCCGCAGGCGCCGAAAATTTTGGGTGGGTCGCGGGGTGGGTCGCGGGTGGGTCGCGGGTGGGTCGCGGTGGGTCGCGGGTGGGTCGCGGTGGGTCGCGGGGGTCGCGGGTGGGTCGGGGTGGGTCGCGGTGGGTCGCGGGTGGGTCGCGGGTGGGTCGCGGGGTGGGTCGCCGAGGGGGTCTCGGGCTGGGTCGCGGGCGGGTCGCCGGTGGGTCGCGGGGCGGGTCGCGGGTGGGTCGCGGGTGGGTCGCGGGGTAGGTCGCGGGTGGGTCGCGGGGTGGGTCGCGGGTGGGTCGCGGGGCGGGTCGCGGGTGGGTCGCGGGGTGGAGCGCGGGTGGGTCGCGGGGCGGGTCGCGGGTGGGACGACGACAACAACAAACAACAAACAACAAACAACAAACGACAAACAACATACAACAACAAAAACAACAGCAACAGCAACAACAACAACAACAGCAACAGCAACAGCAACAGCAACAACAACAACAACAACAACAACAAGAACCCGCATCGCGGAATTCCACTTCAACCACGCACCCATGGACAGTGAATGACCGTTCGGTTCAGCCCCCTCACTCTGATGTAGCGTTGTGGATCGACTCCTCTTTGCATCCGAGTCCTGACCGAACTGATCTGGATCTTACGCTCGAGCTGCCTGAGCAGATGGTAGCTGCCCCAGAACTAATCGACAGGGGGACCTGCCAGGAGGACGCGCCGCGGAACGTCCCAAGGGACGCGCCAAGCGACGTGCCAAGGGACGTGCCATGGGCACGCACCGCGGGACGTGCCAAGGGGACGCGCTACGGAACGTGCCAATGGACGTGCACCGCGCGACGTGCCAGGGGGACTCGCCACGGGACGCTCCGCGGAACGTGCCAAGCAACATGCCAGGCTGCAATGCTAAAGGTATCGATATTGATGTACCGTGCCGAGGGCTGTGCTGTGCCTGGGCGACCTGGGCACGTGACAAGACGCGTTTCGCTCAAGACGTTCTCAGTACATCCTCATGCTAGACATCCGCCTGGGCAACCTGGACATGTGCAAACAAGCGTCTCGATCGAGACTTCCTCGACACATCCTCATGCTAGACATCCGCCTGGGCGACCTGGACACGTGAAAACAAGCCTCTGGTTCAAGACATCCCCAACAAATCCTCATGCTAGACATGTGTCTGGGCAACCTGGAGGCGTGAAACCAAGCGTCTCTCTCGAGACGTCCTCCAGACCTGGGCACGTGAAAACAAGCATTTCACTTGAGAGATCCTCTGAATTCAGGTCCCCAGGAGAGGACAACCTACAACACAAAATAAGCGTTTCGCTCGAGGCATCCTCAACACATTCTGAACAACAAGCGTTTCGCTCGAGACGTCCTAAAACATAAGTTCGCCGGGCCTAGGCGACCTCTTTTTTATCGCAAATAACTTCGCTGGCCCTCGATTCCGGGGGTAAGCGACTAAAATAAAAGAGAACCCTGGATCCCGCCCTTTCGGGGAAAAAAGGACTGAACCATTTTGTCGCTACTTGGTTAGATTTGCCTGTCTGTCAGCATGGTCGGACAATTGCTGGACTCAGGAACTCATATTGTGGAAACCGCGCTGCACACATGGTGCCACGAGGGCGCGCGGACGCCCTCCGACGAGATAGGACGTCCGCCTTCAAGGATTCGCCCGTGATGGCTTGCATACGGCATCTCGCTGGCATGGCAATGCAAGAGGACGTGAAGAGGGCGCATTCGTTGAGAATTGCATTCGCGTGTGAGGACCGCTCCCGCTCTCCCCCTTTCTCCTCCGCTCCCCATCGAAAGCACATCGTTTGCTCTCTGTTGTGCACGTGCGCGCTCAGGCCACTGCGCTGTAGCTTCGCCCGTTTACCGGTCAACCGTTGTGGTTTCACGGGCCTGTCTGGCTGTCTGTCTGTCTATCGTGCCTGGGGAGTCTGCACGGTATAACAATGTCGCCATTTTCGAGGGCGCTGGGAGGTCCAGCGCATTGCGACCTTTGTGGATCCAGATTCGATCTCTCCATTCCTTGGGGGCTGCGAGCTTTGAAGCTGCCCCCACGGTCGAATAATGTTGAGAGCCTAGCACAGCGACGCCCGATGCAGATTCAGAGGAGCCCTCCTCCTCCCCCTCCTCCTTCCCTCCTGCTCCTCCTCCTCCTCCTCCTCCTCCTCCTCCTCCTTGTCCTCCTCCTCCTCCTCCCCCTCCTCCCTCCTCCTCCTCGTCGTCCTCCTCCCTCCTCCTCCTCCTCCTCCTCCTCCTCCTCCTCCTTGTCCTCCTCCTCCTCCTCCTCCTCCACCTCCTCCTCTTCCTCCTCCTCCTCCTCCTCCCCCTCCTCCTCCCTGAGCGGCATCGTCCTTCGAGCAGCTGACGGGGTCCAGGCTGAAGAACGAGTACGGCTTGCCCCACGTGTCTGGGTCCGGCTCGCCATCCTCCGCACCCACGCGAAATCGCAGTGGCCAAGGCTCGACATGCCCTTGCGGCGCCACGTGGAGGTGGCGGGTGGCGAGGGGGCCAAGGAGAAGATGGGTTGAAGAGAGGGGTGATGCTAGGGGAACGAAGAATGACATAAACATAAATTTTCAAAGGTCCGCGCGAATTTCTCGGATCCGGTCTGGACCCCCCTGGCGGCGCCTCTGGCGCCGCCCTTGGCGCGCTCCGCGCGCCAGGGAGGGGGGTCCAGCGCCGATCCGAGGAATCCGCGCGGACCTCCGAGTTTTTATGTTTATGTCATTCTTCGTTCCCCTAGATGTTAGTGGACGCATGTCGCGAGGATAGGGCCAAGCGAGACGAGCGAGCCAATGACGATGACACTGGTCCAGCTGCAGACGCGGCCTGGATAGATACGGGGTCGACGAGAGACCGTCGGCCTGGAGGCCAATCGCTGAGTGTGCCACCATGCCCGTGGCGTGCTGGCAGGGTCGGTCGGGAAAACGAGGTTCTTACAGACTGGTGTGGCATGATCGCGGGACTCTGGTTTGGGTCCAGAGTTTCTCCCTGCCACGCTTACTTCACTGGGAGTGCACCAGGGCCACCGCACTCAGAGAAAACGTTATGAATGTGTGAGCTGCAGGGCCCCTTTTCGAACACACGCTTTCCAACTTGTGGCTTGTCCTTGTCGCAGTCCCAAAGGCGACTGGGCCAGCTCGGGGTTTGTCACCTTCTCCCGAATCCTAACAGCTTCGACGTATCAGGCGTGCCTCCCCGAAAACCTGTTGGGGAACGTTCTGCCGTTCCCAAAGATTGGCGGCACCCAAGATCCGTTCTGACCAGAATTTCGAAGCGGATCCAGCCGTGAGGAGGGCCTCCCAGGGGGCCCAAGAAGGCGAACACGAGGCAAAAGGGCCGCGGTGTCGGTAGTCTTTCCTTCTTTGCCTGTGGGGAAGTGTTGCAGTTCCACGCTATTCGTGCCGCATTCTCCCTGCCTCGCGTGAGACCAGCCATTGTGACGAGAAATACACTCGCGCGCACCGGAATGCACTGCACGTCCCGAATCTACTGCAACCCCACAAATCTATTGCACCACATTTACTGCACCACCCCCTTTTCGCTGGACCCCGTTTTCCGGCGGTGGACGAACCTCCCTTTTTCAAACCACCCTTTAGTGAAAACGGCCTGGGACCGAAACCCACAGACATGGACCCGCAAAAATGACGGCCGCAACGCCCTTCCGCGAACCGAAAACGGCCAATTCGCTAATCGAGGCGTCAGGGTAGGAGGTCTGTCCACCTCCGAGTTTTGGGGCCAACCAGAAGCCAGTGGCGTCGGACTTGACATCGTGAGCACGAGGCGGCAACAGAAACACTCTGGCAGGCCCGCGCGGATCTCCCAGGCCGGCGCTGGACCTCCCCTATGGGTTGAACTTCGCAGCTGTCCGTTGAGGCTGCCTCTTTGTGGTGCGATTCTGGCCCGCGTGAGACCCGCCATTGTGGCCAGCAGGCTTCGCGAGCTGCCCAGGGGGGGAGGAGGAGGAGGAGGAGGAGGAGGAGGAGGAGGAGGAGGAGGAGGAGGAGGAGGAGGAGGAGGAGGAGGAGGAGGAGGAGGAGGAGGAGAGGAGGAGGAGGAGGAGTAGGAGGAGGAGGGGGGGCGGAGGAGGAGAAGGAGGAGGAGAAGAGGGAGGAGGAGGAGGAGAAGGAAAAGGAGGAGGAGGAGGAGGAGGAGGCGGAGTAGAAGCAGGAGGAGGAGGAGGAGGGAGGAGGAGGAGAAGAGAGGAGAGGAGGAGGAGAGGAGGGGGAGGAGGAGGGGGAGGAGCAGGAGGAGCCGGCCTCAGACATCCTGCTGCTCCGGGGCCGCGGCCCCTCGGGCTGCAGGCCCCGGCTGCTGGAGCAGCCGGTGCCGCCCGGCAGACGGGGAGCGTCGGACGACGGGCTCGAGCGAAACAGTGTTCTTGGTGTTGGTGCGACACTCCTCCACCTCCTCCTCCTCCTCCTCCTCCTCCTCCTCCTCCTCCTCGTCCTCCTCTCTCCGTCGTTCTGGCTTCGTTCTGCATGTGCTGCGACAGCGGAATCAAGACGAAAAAACGGTCCACGAAACAAATCGTCAAACACCGTTCGGCTCGGGCCGTGTCGGGCGATGGCGATGACGATGACGTTGCCGTCAAGCAGGCAGATCGGCAGACGCAGCTGATCCCCTCTCCGCACCGACCTCGATCTTATACCTCGGCCAGGCTGTATCCCAGGCCTCGTGGGGTTCTCGAAGGGACCAGAAATCTGGGGCCCAACCCTGGGATGGGGGGGCGTCCATCCTTAAGTCGGGCGAGTCCCCCTACAGGGGGATTTCGGGCGAAAGATTAACAATTGTCAAAAAATACCCTCCCAAATGGGCAAACACAATAAAAACTCGTTCCCCGACTAATGTTTGACTATTTTTGAATATTCCTCCTGTAGAGGGCCAGGCCCGACTGAAGTCCATCCCTGATGTGGGGCGCGTCCGAGTAGCGTCCTTGGGGTGTATCCCAGGATTTCCCTCCTCCTCTGAGCGGCTTCATTCTTCGTCGCAGAGTCGCGGGCTGGGGGAGAAACATCGCCTAAGAGACAAGACGCCTCGCTCGACGTCGCGGCCCAGAAGTGGAGGAACAACAAGTGACAAACCGTGAACTTTCGGAGGTCCGCGCGGATTTCCTGGATCGGGATCGGCGCTTGGGCCCCCATGTGGCGCCTCTGGCGCCGCCCCTGGCGCGCCCCACGCGCCAGGGGAGGGGGTCCAGCGCGGATGCAGGAAACGAGCGCGGACCTCCGAAAAGGTATGCGTTTATGCCATCTTGCGTTCTTCGAGCAAGGCTGCCGCCGCGCTGCGGCGTCCCAGCTCGCCTCCGCGGAACTCTCGTGTGAGGCGCCTGCGCCCACTAGTGCGAGGCTTGAAGAGATGCTGCCGGGGTTCTCGCTGCGCGTCGTAATCTGCAGCGCCGGTCACGGTTCTCCAAGTTCGACGTCGCGATCCAGAGAAAAGTCAGGTCACCATCCGGCTTCCAATCTCACATTTTGTTTAGACATGCGGCCACATTGCGACCCATAAAACGCCAATGTCTGAGCTACACTTCCAGACCATCTAACTGTTCAGATTGGTAGTTCGACGGCGAACAATGTTTTGTAGCGATCGGAGGTTCAGTGCGCACTACGGCTCTCAAACCATCCACGAATATCCAACGAACCAACTGAACACTCGACATACATGCCTCGGTACGATCACAGGTGTCAATCTTTCGTGAACATACGGGGCGGCATGACCAGAACCGTGCGCCATTATCGTAGCCCCTCTTCGTTCTCCTCTTCTGACGCCTCTGCCCTCTGTCTTCTGTTCCTCGTTCTCTCTCTCTCTCTATGTGGCGCGTCGCGGGCGGCCATCCCTCCTGCAAGTCGGGAGGCTCCGTTCCCGAGGGCCAGAACCAGGTCCTGATGTGCCTCTGGAGGAGGTAAGTGGGCGAGCGAAAAGGAAGTAGACGGACGGACACAGAGGCAAGTTGAGGCATACGCTGAGGCAGAAACAGCCGAACATGAACACTGTACAGGCGGACGGGAAGGCTGGCGGGCGGACCGAACAATTAATACACACATGTGCGTGAGTGTCCGTGTCTTTATATGGTACCCCCCGCAAGGACCTCGCTCATGTTCCTTCTTTCCGTTCGTTTCGCTTTTCTTCGTTGTGTGCATCATCCTCGTCTACATGATGTTCGTCTCTCCCTCTCTCTCTCTCTCCCTCTCCTTTATATTCCAAACAGTTGCATCGCCATTCTGCTTCTGCTTGAGAAAGCTTCCACCCGAGGAGGAAGGGAGGTAGGAGGAGGAGCTGAGGAGGAGGAGGAGGAGCAGGAAGAAAGGGAGGGAAGGGGGTGGACGACTCTCTGTAGAGAGGGAACCCCGCCCGAGAGGCCTCCAGAAAACCTCACGGGGCAGGAAGCTCCCGCCGGAGAGGTCCCCAAGCAACTGGCTTGGGAGGAGGCTCCCGCCTGAAAGGTCCCACAAGGCAACCAGGCAGGAGGAGGCTCCCGCCTGAGAGGTCCCCAACAAACTCGCTTGGGAGGGGGCTCCCGCCTGAGAACCCCCCCCCAACAAACAAAACATAAACCAAACAGGATGACGCTCCCGCCTGAGTGGCCCAACACAATTAGCCTGACGAAGGACCCAACCAATGCAACTGCGAGCCACGAAGCGTGCGAGGGATGCGCCGAAATCGGTGGCGCGGACGCACTCGGACTCCGCCACTGGAGCCTGCGGTGGAGCTCCCTATGGGGCCACGAAACGCTGTCCTGGGTGGCGGTGACGCATGCGGACCCTGCCACTGGAGCCTTCGGTGGAGCTCCCTATGGGGCCACGAAGCGCTGTCCGGGGTGGCGGTGACGCATGCGGACCCTGCCACTGGAGCCTTCGGTGGAGCTCCCTATGGGGCCACGGAACCGTGTGAGGGGTGTGCCGTAGTGGGTGGCGGTGACGCATGCGGACGCACCCGCTGGGGCCTTCGGTGGAGCTCCCTATGGGGCCACGGAACCCTGTCCCGGGTGGCGCGGACGCATGCGGACCCTGACACTGGAGCCTTCGGTGGAGCTCCCTATGGGGCCACGAAGCGCTGTAATGGGTGGCGGTGACGGATGCGGACGCAGCCACTGGAGCCTTCGGTGGAGCTCCCTATGGGGCCCCGAGCCGTGTGAGGGGTGTGCCGTAGTGGGTGGCGGTGACGCATGCGGACGCACCCACTGGGGCCTTCGGTGGAGCTCCCTATGGGGCCACGAACCGTGTGAGGGGTGTGTGCCGAACTGATGGTGATGGTGATGGTGATGGTGATGGTGATGATGATGCTGATGATGATGATGATGATGATGATGATGACGATGATGATGGTGACGGTGATGCTGATGATGGGGAGAGGGAGGGGGGGCAGCGGGAGGAGGAGGAGGAATAGGAGGGACGCGCGGCGCTGTCTCTTCAAAGCGAAGACCCAACAACACAGGTTGGTTGGGAAAAACATGAAGAGGGAGACTCTCGCCGTCCTCCTTCTCCTCCTCTTCCTCGTCTTCCTCTCCTTCCACACTGTCCGTCTTACCCAGCTCAAGCGGCAAGCACTGAGATCGTCACCGAACTTGTCAATGATACAACCTGATCCGCGTACTCACCAACTTTCGTGACACACGTATTTCAGTCCTGCTGCAGCCGATGAAACATGCAATCTGTTTCTTCCTCGTTGTGCCGCTCCGGACGCCCGGCGTCAATTTCCCGTCCCTCGCTCGGGCGGGGACGGACTCACCTTCGACGCGGCCTCGGTGCAGTGGAAGGACTCTTCCGATTCCCACTGCGAGTGCGAGGCACGAAAGCTTCTGCACAAAAACGAGGGACATGTTCGAACTTTGCAGCTTGACGACTTGAGCGTAAGCTTCGTCTTTGCGTCTCAATATTTCGATTGAGCTCAGTCTTGGGGTTAATCCGGATGTTATGAAAATGTTGGCAGCGCGACCTGACAGGACAAGACAGGGTGGAAAAACGAGAGGCACGGCAGGGCCTGGCAGGGCGGGCAAGGAAAGGCAGTGACGTGCACGGAGGGCATGAGGAAGCGGAGGACGGGGGGAGGGGGGACCACACACACATACACATATCTATATACAGGTAGAGAGAGAGGAGAGAGAGGGAGAGAGAAAGAGAGAGAGAGAGAGAGAAAAGCGATGGACACAGATAGAGGGAGAGAAAGAGATAGACACGTATACATCCATCCATTCATACATACATATATCCATCAATCCATACGTACCCACATACATACATACATGCATACATACATATATGCAAACAACAACCACGCACAGCCATACACACATCCACGCACGAACATCTAAATGTACATACGTACATACATATACACGCTGCCAATAATACTCATAGCCATACATACATACATGCATACATACACGAATCCATAACTACGCATACGCACATATGCGCATACCTGCACACACACTGTATGTATCCATCCATGCACACATCCATACACACACTCATGCATACACACCTACATACATACATACATACATACATGCATGCATGCATACATACATACATACATACATACATACATACACACATACATGCATGCATGCATGCACGCATGCATGCATGCACACATATTTACATACATACATACACGAGTGCAAGCATACATACACATACATACACATACACGCATACACATTCACCAACACATATAAAAATACGTGTGAATGCATGACAGCACACGTATACGTATAAATGTGTGTAGGGGTATATATATATATATATATATCGGAATTGAGATGTGCGAGAGTGATCGAGAACGGCAGGTGCGAACACACAAACATACATCGTAAGCCCAACAGTGTATATACACAGATATGCATGTTTAATTATACGCGCACAGGGGCCAATGACTATACATACGTGTATATGTATATATACACACATGTGTATACATGTGCATGCATATGCGTAGGCAGCAGAGAAAATGCATGAGAGAGCGACCATGAGAGAGAGAGAGAGAGTGATGAAGGGCGAGAGAGAGAGAGAGAGAGAGTGAGAGAGAGATAGTGAGAAACACAAGCGGAGCTGAGGATACTAGTCGGGGGGGGGGACAGCGAACGAGGCAGCAGGAGCGAGGGCAGAAGATGAGGGGAGGGGGGACGCAACAGCATGAAGGGACCAGGGCGAGCGGATCGCGTGTAAGCCAAATGCGGAGCCTCGACCAAGCATCGGCACTGTTTGCTGACATCGGGGGGGGGGTGTAAGTTCAGCGCGAAGCTCCCCCACCTGAATCCTTGGTAACCTCACTTGCCGCATCGCACACCGCGATGCTCGACGCGCGGCTCTCCTCTTGCCCCTGCGCCCTCGCGCCGCCCCCCTTGGAGAAAGGCAACCGCGCGGAACCAGAAAGCGACGCGCGAAGCGCGACTATCTTCATGCCCCAGCGCGTCAACTAGGCATCCCTCCCAGGCCCCCCATACCACAACCAGCATGCGCTTCCACAGCCATACACCCTGATCTCCAATCAATCAACAACTCCACTCTGATACGTTCGCCTTGTCACTTGGCCTGTGATTGAGTGTTTGCTCATACCAGCCCTCTGAGTTGTTCTGCGAGCCAGATCTTCTCGAACAACCACTTCTCCCCCTTCGGAGAAGGTCATACCCCCCCATGCCGAAGCACACCTCGCTCGCCTTTGGACTGGAATTGGCTGGCAGCCTGCCGCCGGAGTCGCATCGGTCCACATCATTCTTTCCCCTCCCGAGGGGCCCCACATCTCCCTCACCTCGCTGTGCTCACCTAATTGAAAACAGGGGGTGGTGCGGGGCCCCATGCAGAATCTCATGTGTAGGGCATAAAAGAAGAAGTTGCTTAATGTCGGTTTGCCTTCTCGCTTTTTCGCTTCCGCGGGACGCCTGAGGCCTTGAGACGGCTCTGCCATCGCCCAGGAGAGCCATGAGGAGTCAAGAAGTGTCCCAAGACAGCCCCAGTGGCCGCCAAGAACGCCGTGCGAGGGCCACAAGAGGACATCTCTTGGGCTCCAGAGGGGCAGAACACATGTGTTATCCATCCCCTTTTCGATCGACATCCTAGGAGATCGCCCTTGGCAGACACATGCGATCCGAAATCTTGCTGTACGAATCTTGGGGGGGACACTCTTCGTCGATCTCCGAGGCCCCAAGATGCACCCGAGCGTCTGTAGGCACCCGAGCCTGCCGGAGGATACGGCATTTTCGTGGGGCGCCTGCTGGCAGGCCGCCTTCTTTGGTGTGCCTCCTGTATGCAGGAGGGGAAGGGACCGGGAACTCAGACACAGCGGCAGTGGCTCTCGCCTCCACGCCCCTGCGGGGAGGGAGATCCGCGAAGCCGCGAAGCCAAGGCCAGAAGAAAAAAACGTGCAGGATGTGTTTGTTCGTGTCTATCTCCCTCTCTCTTTCCCTCTCTCTCTCTCTCTCTCTCTCTTTATATATATATATATTGTTTGTTTCTGTCTCTCTCTCTCTCTCTCCCCCACTATGTATATACGTGTATATCCGCCGGCCCCCTTGTGGGGCCATCAGGCTGCGAGGATGAGGGTTGCTGCTCCCTGCGCCAGCTGCAGTTTCCAGTCTCCAGTGTTACATTCCTGCTTTCTGCTTCCTCTTGTAAACTATTTAAGTCCGCGCGAGGGGCGGGGGGGGGGGGGCGAAAAGGGCCCAGTTACCACCCCCGAGTCGCGTTCTCTGAATTCCTGCGGGGCCGTGGGACAAGTAACAAAAAATATGGGATTCCCGCTCTCGACGCAATAATCCCTAGTAGATCGCTGTGTTTGCATCCCCGTGTACATTGCACTACATTCGCGACCCCGAAGCCACGATCTCCCATACATTACGCTACGTTCGCGCCTCTGGGGCCACAACCCTTCGTAAATTACGCCGCAGTTGCGCCCCCCGAGGCCACGATCCTTCGTACATAACGCAATATTCGCGTGCCCCAAATCAATAAACCTTTCAACTTGCACAATCATTCGGGTGGTCTTAGGGCGGTCTTGGGCGGCTCTTCGGCGTTCTTGGAGCGTTGGAAGCTCGAAAACGTGAGAAGCCAAAAATATTGAAAACAAAGATGAAACTCTACGATTTTGGCCTCTTCGGGCAGTCCCGGGACGCCTCTCGGACCTCTCTTGGGGTCTCTTGGAGGCCACCTGGGAGCCTCGAGAGTCGTCGGACGGCTGACTTGGGCTGATTGGGAGCGTCTTGGGCCATCCTTTCGCATTCTGGGGGCTCCTGTGCGGCGTCTTGGGCCCTCCTGGAGCGCGGTGGAGGCTCCCCGGAAAGGCTGGGGGAGCGGTACCGGGAGGGTTCCCGAGATGTTCCGGGGAGGTGTGGGACCCGGGGCCGTGGGTGGCCGGCATTTATTTTGTATTATATATACGCGGGACTGAGCTCGCGACGTCGACGTTGTCCGCCAGAGCGAGAGCGGGGAGCAAGCGGGGCTTGGGGTCTCTGGGGGCCCCTTGGGGGGGGGGGGGGGGCTCGGCTCCGTCCAGCCTCGGCGTGCTTCCCCCGCGGGCGCCGGCCGCGGCAGAGCCCCTGTGTGATGAACACATCGAAGGGGCCCAGCGCCCACATCGAAGGGGCCCAGAGACACACAAATAAACACACACACGCATCCCAGGATCCCTGATATGTTCCAATATGTTCTGGGTTTTCGTCTTCCCCCCACATCCCATCTGTTCCCATGCTGTCCTGGGGATCGACGATTCATCATGTCTGTGTGTTTTCCCCCTCCCGACATATGTGCGTACAGGGCTGGACCTAAACGTCGTTTTTGGTTTTGTTTTCGTTATGTGATTCGTTTTGCTCTGCCTGTTTTCCGGTACCTCCCCGCCAAAACGGAAAACAAAACACGGCCGACACCCAGCAAAATAGCGTTTAGGTCCAGCCGTACGCCCATACGTACATACAGATAAGCGATTTCGGAAACCCTAAACCCAAACACGTTTTCATCTCTTGGGGACGCATTTTCTACTTCTGCCGCCTTCCGCGGCCCTTCCGCCGGCTTCTGCAGGCGGAGGCGGCCTCGTTTCACTTCCGCCGACCTTCCGCCGCCCTTCCGCAGCCTTCCGCCGCGGAAGAGATGCCAACTCCCTCGACTCTCGAAGGCAGGGCCCTTGTTGTAATGCCCCATAGTCGAATATGTGTATACATACAGACTTGCATACACATGCACATGTCAAATGTCTATCTGTGGGGGGGAACAGCGCGCGACCACAGACCTCCACAAGACTCGGCATCAGCCACACTCAGCATCACCCAGTTTCCACTTTTACCTCGCTCACAACCGAAGGGGTTCTGAAACAGGTGTCCAAAGGACAACAGGGAAAAGTCTCACAAGAGGGACGGGGAGCCCTGGACCGCCCTGTCTGTCCGGCAGCGGGTCTTGCGGCTGTTTCGCCTGACACGTCCCCACGGTGTACTCCAGCATCGTGCTCTCGCTCCACTGCCGGCTGCATGTTTGGTCTGGGCGGCCACGACCCCCTTTTGACGAAGACGCTCAGGCGCGCTTGGCCATGCTTTTTACCCCTGCCCCCAGATAGCCGACCTCCTACTCCTCGACCCGCCTCCTAACCTTTGCCGTTTTTGGTTTGTTTTGTTTGCTTTGTTCTCTCTCTCTCTTTCTCTCTCTCTCTCTC